GTGTGTGTGTGTGTGTGTGTGTGTGTGTGTGTGTGTGTGTGTGTGTGTGTGTGTTCTACAGCCCTAGGTTCTGTGAAATCTCATTCACAAGTTTCTGGGCCTTTTTTCTGCTGACAAACTGCAACTCTGTGTTGCTCTCTGGGATATATATATATATATCTTAACATTTATACATTAATTTTCATCTATTTTTTATTCGGTTATCAATCCACCTGTACCAATCATCCCACACCGTATAGTATTCTGAATCCTCTTTTTCATTTAATTCTAACCTTAATTTGTTCATTTCGGCACACACTAAAACTTTCTGAATAATAAGTTCCTCTGGTGGTGTATCTTTTCCTTTCCAATATTGGGCATATGATGTCTAATCTCTTCTTAAAAACCTCCAGTGATGAAGCACCCACCGATGTCTGAAGGCCAGCTGTTCCATTGGTTAATTGTCCTCACAGTTAGGAAGTTTCTCTTTAATTCCAGGTTGCTTCTCTCCTAGATTAGTTTCCATCCATTGCTTCTTGTCTTGCCTTCTGGTGCTTTGGAGAATAAGTTGAGCCCCTCTTCTTTTTGGCAGCCCATCAAATACTGGAACACAGTTATCATGTCCCACTTAGTCCTTCTTTTCTCTAGGCTGGCATGAAGGAGATCTTTCCCGGTTCCCGGTTCAAAGCAGGCTGCAACCAGGCTCCGTGGCACAAACTGCAAAATTACTGCAGGGTTCGAATCTCGCCAAGGCTCAAGGTTGACTCAGCCTTCCATCCTTTCTAAGGTAGGTGAAATGAGGACCCAGTTTGTGGGGGCAATAAGCTGACTTTGTATAAATATACAAAAGGATGAAGGCTATTGCTTAGCGCATTGTAAGCCGCCCTGAGTCTCCGGAGAAGGGCGGCATATAAATCAAATTAAAAAAAACAAAAAACAAAACCCGAGGCTGCCCCCCAGAATCGAGGTGGGACATGAAGGGCAGAGTGGGGGAAAGTGAAGGGCAGCAACGAAGCCAACGCTCCAGAGCTCCCGGTCCTTCCTCTGTGACGTCGGCCTTGGGATGTCCGTAGGGCGGTCTAGAAGGGAGGCAGCGGTCTGGCCTGCAGAGCGTGGAGAAAGCGAGGCTGGATCCAGAGAGAGCAAGTGAGAGTGATCCGCCAGGAGT